GTGTTTAAAAATATTACAGGAAAAATGTCCTTTTAAACTCTATTATGTTGAGCTTTGTGATAGACTAATTTAAAAAATGAATAGAAGTAAGGACCCCCTCCCCTATTACCATACATGACCCATTGTAGAGCAGTTATTAAGTCCAGGAGAAAATAACTTTTCTAAGCTCATTATGATTTTGATAATACCATATATTTAAAAGACACTATTCTCCAGAGGAATGTAAAGCTCATGGTCAAAAACCCTTAGCTTCTGAAGCATCCATTTGACTGTCAAGTGATTATTTTGACCAATAAAATCCTAGATACTTGATAGAATTAACCACCAGCATGGAAAACTTTTAAGGAATTATATTTCCTGTCATATCAGTTATTTACCCTGCTTTTTGTTCCTTCAGAACCTATCAAAATGTTTTATTATTATTAAATTCAAACCCCTCAATGATGTTTTGCATTCAGTTAACCAAGCTAGACTAGACTATAAAATGTAAACTTTAAAAAAAAGTAATAATAGAATCCGAGTTGGAAGGGTCCTCTGCAACCATCAAATCTAAGCCATCCCTGAATAAGAGTCCTTTCCAACAATGGTTCTCAAACTTGTTGGTCTCATGATCTCTTTATACTCTTAAAAGTTATTGAGGACTCCCAAAAGAGCTTTGTGTGGGTTGTGTCTATGTTTATCATGTTAGAAATTAAAATTTGTTAGCATTATTATGAAAATAGGTTTGACTTCATATACCTTCTGAAAGGGTCTTGGGGACCCCCAGTTGTCCCCAGGTCATACTTTGAGAGCAGTTACTCTATGGTTTGCCTAAGGGCTCATCTAAACTTTGCTTAAACACCTCCAGTGAGGAAGAGCCCACTACTTTCCCAAGGCATCCCATTCTACTTTTAGAAACATGGAATTGCTAGAAAAGTTTTTTTTCCCCTAAATTTCATCCATTGTTACTTTTAATTGTGCCCTCTGGGACTGACAAGAGTACTTCCATAACACTCTCCTTCTTTTCCTTGAAGAGAGCTATAATTCTCCTCCCACCCCTCCATGCTCTATCCCCTGAGTCTTCTTGTAGGTAAACATCTTCAGTTCCTTCTTCTAATCCTTACGTGGTATGATCTCAGATTGGAATTTCTTCAACATCCTAGTCACCCACCTCTGGAAGAAAAAATTCCAAGTTATTAGTTTCCTTCCTCAACTCTTGTGCCCAGAACTGAAGACAGTATTCCAGATATAGTCTGAACAGATTCAAGCACAGGATTATCTCCTCCATAATTATGGAAACTCTCATTGTCTTAAAGGTTCTGGTGGCTTTAGTGCTTTATCTTCTTTTTTTGTGTGTGTGCTGCCAAATCACTTTATGTCTTCTATTGAGCTTACTAAAGACTCCAAATCTTTTTTTTTTTCAAATTGCTATCTAGCCACCTCATCCCCATTATGAACTGGGGAAGTTTATTTTGAGGCACGAGTGTAAGACCAAAAGATCATAAGATAGAGTTAGAAGGGACTTTCAAGGCCAACTCCCTTTTTTTTCTATATGAGAAAACTGAAGCCCAAAGAAATGATGTGATTTACTCAGTCGCACAAGAACTAAGTAACAAAACCAAGATCCAAACCCAGGTCTTGTTACTCCAAATCTAGATATACAGCACTATTAAATTTCAGCTTGTTAGATTTGGTACAATGTCTAGACTGACAAGAACTTTTTGGATCCTTACTCTATTATCCAGTATATTGACTATCTATCCTAGCTTTATGTCATTCAGTGAAATTCAACAAACATCTATGAAGTGAAGTATCTACTGTGTACAAAGCTGTATGCTAAGTACTTGGGATACAAAGAAGTAAATGAAATGTTCCCTATTCTTATAATAAACATACCATTTTTGCCTTTATCATTGATAAACAGTACTGGACAAAACAAAGATACCAGATCTACTCCACTAGATATCTCCTTCCATAATGAAATCCCACCATTACTTGTTTGGTTTAGCTATTCATCCAGTTCTATATTCTCTTGATTATCTATCCTACATCTGTCCATCCTCTTTATAAGAATAGAAAGACTTTGTCAAACACTTTCTTAAAAGTCTAGGTAAATGATGTCTTTAACATTCCTCTGATAGACCACCCTAGTAACCCTTGTCTATAAAGGAAATGAGGTTCATTTGCCACGATCTTTATGAAACTGTGCTGATTCTCTGTGATCATTTCTTCCCCTTCTAACTATTCACTAACCATCTGTTTAATAATACTTTTTAGATTTTTTTCAGGAATTAAAGTCAAGCTCACTTTTTGATAGTTTTTAGACTCTACTCTCTTCCTTTTTATGGAAATCAGGATATTTCACCTTTTCTAGGTCTATAGACCCTCTCCCAAAGATCACCAGTGGTGATTCAACAATCTCATCTACCAGGTTTTTTGTTTTTGTTTGTTTGTTTTTTTAGTACCCTGGGGTAAATGTAATTTGTGACCTGTTAGCCATTTTTGCTCCTTTCCAGCTATTCAGTCAGAGAAAAAAGTTGTGATTTGGCCTTCTCTTTATCTTCACTTTGGTCAAAGAATAGTACTATCCTTTCATTAATCCATTTCTAAGTCAGTATGGCTAAATAAAACCCTTTTGATGATCTTACTTTTCATTGCCAGCCTCAATTCATTCTGAGCTTTAAAAATCTAAGGTGGTCTGTGTGTTTCATTGGTTTCTTCAGATAATCTCTCCTTATTTCTCCATATTGGAATTGTTTCTCTTTTTGTCTTTAGAATTTAATTCTTAAAAGCTTACCATTCCTCTTGTTCTGTCTTCCCTCATGAATTTTTAGCATTGGAGTCCTACCTATCTTTTCTCTGGATCCTTTGAAACCTGCTCTTCAGAACATCCAGATTATGCCTAGCTTTCCTCTCCTTTATCACAAATGCTGAGATGGAATAATCGCTTCTCCACAAAGGTTACCTTCATTTCTACTTCCACAACTAGTTTCTCTTGGGGAGAAGTAATTTCAGTGTTGTTCAGGGTCATTCTAGTCTAGTGTTTAATGTAAATTTATTTTGTCTTTATAGAGATTTATAGAATTCATTAGGAAATTTTTTAATGAAATTTTGTCAGAATTTCCATATAGATAGAAAAATAAATAGATATAAAACCAAGAACTTACAAAAATATTTTACATATTTTCGCAATCCAATAAAAACAAATGTATACACATGCACACATATGTTTTAATAAGCAATTTTTGGCAAAATATTTGGAGATAAGTGATTTTTTAAAAATCAGTGATGTCTTCTTTAGGTCATAATACTTATTACCTGGCCAAAACAACAACAACAACAAAAATAAAACAACTTCCTCACTCCCTCCACCCCTTCTGTTTAGGTGAAAATATTCCCATTACTGAGACCTTAAGCATTAAATTTCAGCTGAAGTATTACATTTGGCCTTCTGAACTACACTTAATAAAGAAAACACTCAATATGTAAAGTTATATTTACATGTTATAGTCAAGCGAGAAAATATTGGGTTTTCTTTTTTCAAATCTTTTTTCAAATTGTCAGAATTTCATAATCATCACACATTTCCCTGTTCACATATAGCACTGGACATTAAAATGTATTTTCAAATATTCTTTTAGGAATAAATATTTCCTTCAGGCTAATATAGTTTTTAAATGACTTAATGGCCTATTCACAGGGGCTGTAACCTCACATGACTGGTCACGTGGATGACTGAAGTGATTTTTCCCCCTGAAATATTGAGACATTAGCAGGATAGTAGTAGGGGTTTGGGCAGTAGTGTTTTGACCTTTTAAAAAATAATCATCAAAATAAGGTCAAGAGAACTTTGCAAATCTTTAGAAACTAACATTACTCAGAGTTTCACATCAAGAATCTTGTACCATATATTAAAAATTTCAATATTCATAATTGTGTTTTACTACAGACTAATCTAGAATATGCGAAAATATATCATATAAGTTTAAAATTACTAGTTATAATCAACATCTCCTAAGCACACTTAAGCTTTTCATGGAAAAACAATAAAAATTTTCTGCAGTTAATCACTGTGAATGTCATGTTCTATAATGAAAAATGCTGTATCAGGCAAGACATACTTTATTTACAGCATGGATATCTAAAGGTTAAAAACCATAATTTTGAAGCTCTTTTTTTCCACAAAGGCAGATAAGTTTACTTTCGTAGGCATAAAAATAAGCAGTATATCTTTTCAATAAATCTGCTAGCACTGTAGGGCAGCTGTTAAACAAACAGAGCTGTATAGGGTTACATGAATAGTCTCTGAAGGGCAGAACTGATGATTTGGAGACCTGGGAAGAATTTGTTTCAGCTTGCATTGAGTGCATTCCTCACTCTTATTTAAATGTAACACAGTACCTTATATTCTATTCCTTGGAGTTTATAATAAGATTAGAAATTCTTATCACCTCTTTCTAAGTCATGTCACTTTCAGTAACACTAAATTAATAAACTCCTAAACTTGCAAATACCTGTACACTTCTTAATTGGAGATAGGGAGAATGTGTGTAAGGTGGGGACTTCTTCCTATAAATTGCATGTCTTCTATGGTTTGCAAAATGCATGCTTAAAGTTAATGATTATTTGACCTTAGTGCAGACTATTTAGTATGTTGCATAGATACAAAGCATTCTAATTTTCTTTCTAAAAAAATATATATATATATCACTATTGAACATTAACATTTTCTTTTATTTCAGCTCAATTTGTACTCTAATAATGGCTAATGGTTATGTTCTAAGCACAACTTTTTCTTGAATGCTTTAATTACTAGAGGAACATATTCAAGTAGCTTATCTAAAACAATCTTTAGGAATTTTGCTTTTCAAAGTAAGTTTTTCTTTTCTTTATTTTTAATGTTACCTTTTGGGAAAGTAAGGTTTATGCCATGTACAGTACTAGTTTGCATGTATTCATTTAAATACTAAAAACTGTAGTACTGCTCGATCCATATCTGACTGCTAGGTTTCAATTGACAGCTGAGGATTTGTGACTGGACCATGAATCAAAACGGCAGGCATTTATACCCCAGTGCCAGTGAGGATACATTGGGAATTACTTGGCAAAGGTAACATTTTAATTATTTCCAAACCTACACTACATCTAAAAATAACATGAGCTACAATATCTGTTTTAACTGGCCTTTCAGAGAATATATGTCAAAATTAAGTCAAAATCTATGGGTATAATATCTTTTGGCTATACATTCTCTTTTCATTTATTATTATTTTTTTAAATAACTAAGTTAAGTTCAATCTTAAAAATAATTTGCAACTGTAGAATACCTTAATTTATCCATCTGAATTTCCAAATTAGGCATGAATACAATCCTAAAATAGAAACAAAATAGCACAAAGTAAAAACAGTAGTTAGGTTTTGGGACCCAAAGAACTAAAAAAAAAAAAAATCATTAGTTAGTGAATCATTTTCTGCAATCAATTTCCAGTTTCTCAGTGTAACCTTCATTTCAACTTCTTTCAACCAATAGCTCAAAGCCATTTCATTAATCATTAACACTTCCATCAGAGGGAGGATACTGAAATTAAAACTAAAATCAATTGATTTTGCTGTTAAATAGCACTACCCATAGAGTTTGTGTGGGGCAGCTTATTGTAACCTATAGCCAAAATGGAGATATGGGTAAAATATGCATTTCACTTCATTGTATCCATTATTATGAATGATTGAGAATTAACTTTATCTTGTCTTGTTGAGAAAATTATTTAGAAAGTTATGATTTTCATAGCAGACTCTTCCATTTCTCAAGTACTGTACTATCTAAATATGGACAGACTCATCTCTAATAGGTTGATCATCAGCTGATGAATTCTTTGGACATGACAACCCACATGCAAGGCAAAGAATCTTGTGAAGAAATCTTATGTATTGGTATTAAAACAATTTTAATTAGGGAGAATGAATTACTATCAGTTTAGGAGTCTGAGGTATTTAAGGATGAGAAAAAGCTCATTCAAATTGACCTACTAAATAATTAAAAGTCATGGCTTTAAATTCATATAACTAAACATAAATTTATGCAGGGAGGTGAATTAATCTCACTGTGAGTTCTATGAAAGTAAAGCCAACCTGTTTTCCCAACACCACATAGAAAACAGCACATTTGTAAATGCATTACTCATTTACCAGTAGGTATATGGAAGCCTTTTAAGCATGGAGGAAAACTTGTTCAGAACTTTAAATTAAGGAAGTTAATAAAAGTTGATTTTATTAAGCTCAAAACAAATTACTTATTCTTGTTATTTTAACTCAATGAAGTGATTCTTATTAATTTAATTTACTAGCTTATTAATACACTGAGCCTTTTTTTAAAATTAACATCATTTTGGATTTAAAGAGAGTAGCTTAATAGTTTCATTTTTTTAAACTCCCAAATCATGTTTTTCTATTCAGTTTGGGCAGGTTTCACTTGAATGGGCCATTTCCCTTGGGACCTTAAATATTTATTTGTAGATCAGGTAGGATGTATTTATATATATATATGGGCATGTATGTGTGAGTGAGGGCATAAAAAATATCTTTTAGTATACCTCTAAGATACCGAATACTGAAAAAACCAGTTCCGTTTCAATGCAGAACAGCCTAGTATATTTGAAACAGGTAAAGAAAGGGGGAAAGCTATACTTTGCTGACAGACCTATGATAGAATTTTCTGGAAAACTGCATTATTTTAGTACTTACCTCCATTGATTTTAGAAGTCAATAAAAAATGTTTATTCCATCGAAGGCCAGGTGAGTAAAAAAAAATACACAGTGTAAATGTTCCAGAAATATTCAGCAGTTTTTAGCTATTATTTTATGCTATCCCCTTTTTGGGCAAAAATCTAGAATAGAAAGACTAGAAAACTCCATTCCTCTTATCTCTCACACCCATCCCCTCAAGTAATTTTCTTTAGACTGATTGGGCAAATAATGTGAAAAAGACTGAACACTGGAAATCTACAACAAAAAGGTGGCTTAGAAATCTGCATTCTTTTCACATGGTCATTCAGGATCTCTATTACTGAAAGTACTAAGAGTAGTTCTTATTCATTCATTCATTAACTTTGTCCAGTGTTTATTTATTGAGTAGCTCTGCTAGATACAGTGAACCATATGAGAGCATGCCAGATCTTCCCTCCATGAGCTTGCATTCTGGGTGTCTTACAAGACAAAGTAGTTATACCCAATGGGATCCTAATGCTTCTCTAAATTGACTAACATAAAATTGCTGTACTTTGTTTTACTATGCCATTGCCTTAGCTAAGACCACCTTTGATATAACCAAGAGGCCAACTGTAAGGCAAAAAAAAAAGTCCTTATCCATAGCTATCATATAATATGTCCCAAATCAGAGTCTAAAAGAACAATTATCTGAGAAGACTTTCAATTTTTTCCTACTTTTAAATTTTGCCAATTGGCCATCAAAATAGAAAATAAAAATAATTTCCGGTGAATTTCTTTGTGAATTGTTGTCTTCCAGTAACAGTTGTTTAACAGAGTTCTTAGGAAGTATCTATAGTTTTAGAATTAGCTGGAAGTTAGAGAATTCTAAAAAAAAATGTTGCTTTCAAACTCATGAATTATTTTACCTCTGGCATAATAAAAGTGAGAAAAATAGGATTTTGAACAAAGCAGTCCCTGGAGACTTTGAAGCAAGAAAGGAGAAACCAAAGATAAATTTTATTTTCAGTACATTCTCCACTCAGCCTATTGGCCAATCTTGACCATTTACATCTTTACATGAGTATGCTTTGGAATGGGGCTATTCTATTAAAGCACTTATCCTTCCATAGTGACTGATGACCATGATGCTAAGGAATGACCTGTGCAAGTATATTTTAATCCAACAAATTTCCCATATTCTTCTTCAATTTACAATGTATAAACAATGCCTTTAGGAATGAAAATTTGACTTCTTAGCAAGAGTTTTCATTGGCCTTTTAGTTCTAAATGTGTTTTATTGTATTGAGCTTGTAAATTTGTAGAACATGTGCATATTTTGTGGTGAAAGAGTTGGCTTCACCTGAAAATTTTTTTTTCCTCTGTCAACACAGATCAGGTAGTGGAAGTCCCATTGTGCTGTTCTATTGTTTACTCTTCCCCCTTCAATTTAGGAAAGACCATCTTCTCAGAGGATGAGGAACTATGCATTGTTTATGAGAAGTACTGTCTTATCTGAGCTCTCATTGGAAGAGTCAAATGATTACTTGTGCAAGTTACATACGTGAATATAGGTACAGAACATAGACTGTTTTTGACTGGATTTTTTTCTTTTGGAGCTTGTAGACAGCATATAGCATGTGCTATCAAACATGAAAGAACTATGTAATTGACTGAAAAAAAGCAAGCACAGCATCCAGTAATAACATTAATGTGTTATTTTAAAATGTGGGAGGGAAGGCATTATGTAAAAGAGAAACAGGATTTATTGTTTCATCCTTTTTTCTCTCCCCTCACTTCTTTTGAGGGAGGGGACTCAAGCCCACAACTGAGTGGTTGTGTGTGTGTGTTTGATGGCTTATATAAACATAGATGAAGACTTCAGATGGCCAAAAATAAACATGTGAGTGTTACTGAGGGATATATTTACACAAGCCATTTGCTCAGTCTCCAAAATAATGACTAGATTGAAGATTTTAGCAAAATAATTGGAAGGATTTTTGTATTTCTGGTGATACCATGACTGTGTGGTACAGAAGAGACTTTTATCAGCTATTTTCCATGTTACATGTGTTGACAGTTATTTTTCTATGAGCTGGATATTTCATTCTGTAGTGATTTTACATATGTTTTTAGAAGAAATTGTCGTTTATTGCTGCAATTTTAGAGAGTTGCTTGATTTCCCAAGAGAAATTTAGCAGCCAGTAAAGATTATTAGGAGCTGGCTGGTCAGGGGCAGGAGAGGAAAAAAGAGAAGTGAAATAATATCATTCATTGCCTCCATGTCACACACACACACACACACACACACACACACACACACACACTACATAATAGTACTCAAGTAAAACTTGGATTATTTATGTAAGACCTTTCCTTTCCTCTTGACCACATATAGACTTTTTCTCAAAAACCTACAGATATTTTAACAAAGGTAGGCTCCAATTTTTTCATAAAAATGCAACATGTGGCCGTATAAAGACATGCACACAAACTCCTTCACACATACCCTTTGGCAGGAGAAAGGGTTAACTTTTGCTTGAACAGTACACTTAGACCATCCAGGCAAATTCACTAGGTTAGCATTTCCTGCTTTCAGTTTGTTATCTTGACACATAAGTACAGTACAACAGCTGGGTTGTTCCTGGGGTTCCTGGGGGGAGCTTTATTCTCAGAGTGCTGAATTTCCTTTTCAGCTGTCAGCTGTAGGGGTGTTCAAACTTTTTACACACCATTCCATGCCCCTAGCACCACTCTGGGACCCTGATAAAAATGCTGATAAGGTAGATGAATGGAATAATCTTCAATTCAAGGTAGAGAAAGAACAAAGCCCAAATAACAGAGGACCATTTTTATGCAACAGGACTTCTTGCTTCCTTTGCTGTGAGGTAAGCTCACAGCATTTTTGTATTGCTTGAAACATTTAGCTCATTCTGACAGAAGTTGCTCACACCTACTTAGTAATTTGAAATTAAAATATTAGCTTTGACTGAATGAAATAATTCTCTTGATATAGTTGTCACAGAAAGCAGTTATGAAGATACATCCCCAAGCAGTTAATGCATAAATATACGTGTATGTATGTGTATATATATATATATATGTATGTGTATATATAACATATATATTATATGTCCATTTTAGTTTTGTCTAAGTTTCTCCATTATAAAGAAAGATGTGCAGAACATGATGCTTCCTTTCTATCTGAGCAAATGTCTTCAGAATACTTCCTAAGAAATGAATTGTATTCCAGCCAGACTTGCATGCTGCCATCCCACAGGAAATGGGTCAGCAATCCATTAAGATGCCATTAGATAATCTAATTTGGAACTTAATCTCTAAATTAACCATGCTCCATACTTGAAGCATACTTGAGAGAAAGAAAAAAAGTTTATGTTTGAATCGATA